CCATCCTAACAAGGAAAAAACTGAACAGACTGAAAAATCAACACCTCCTCTTGGATCCCTAAGAAAAGGGAGGACAAGGGCCATCTGCTGCCCCCGAGACTGGAGAGACCGAGGGGCAAACACAGAGAATAACAACGTAACAGGAGCAGAGACTCATGACTAGAAACCACTGCAGGAACCTGTACCAAGATAGGGAAACCTGAACTGTAGTGGACAATTGCTGGAAGCTCAGTGCAGACAAGTCTGAGAGTGGAAAAGTCCAGGGTGACCCAGTCATGGGGGGGCGGGGTTCCCACCGTGTTATGGGGTTTATCCACAGGAGCTCAACCAGATTCCCACAGTAAATATTGGAGAAGAATCCCCTCGTGCTTCCAGCAGGGGGAGGAAAACAGGAACCATTCTGAAATACAGCAGGGCACTCAGTTCTTAACAAGACCTGCCCTCTGGGGCAACTAGTTAGCCACAGCCTAACCTGCTAGGGTATCATCAGAGCCTAACGGACTAGGGAGAAGGCGGGTGGGGAGGTGCGGTGAGGGACATACCCAACTCCAGCTGGCTCCAGTCTTCCTATGCAACCTAAGGAAGAAACACTGGGAAACACTTGTGAAGGTCACACTCCAGAGGCATAGGCTCATTAAAAGACTGAGTCCTAATCATAGGATTATAGAATGCTCCCCACCACACCCTGCACCACGTGACTAAAGGCCCTTTACAGCAGTTCCTTTTACCCTGTACATCTTGTCCAGCTAGCACGAAAAAAAGTTCAAGGCATACCAAAAGGCAACAAACACAGTTTGGAGAGACCGAGAAAGCCTCAGAACCAGACAGACATGGAAGAGATGTTGGAATTATCAGACTGGGAATTTAAAACAACTACGATTACTATGCGAAGGGCTCTAATGGATAAAGTAAGCAGCATGTAATAACAGATGGGCAATGTAAGCAGAGAGATGGAAAGCCTAAGAAAGAACTAAAAAGAAATGTGATAGACAAAAATGGTGACAGAAATGAAGAATGCCTTTGGTGGGCTTATTGGTAGACTGGACATGGCTGAGGAAAGAATCTCTGAGCTGGAGGATATATCAATAAAATCCTCAAAAACTGAAAAGCGAAGAGAGCAAAGACTGAAAAAATAGAACAGAATATCCACACAGTGTGGGATAACTACTAAAGGTGTAACACACACATAATGGGATTACCAGAAGGAGAAGAGAGAGAGAAAGGAACAGAAAAATATGACTGAGAATTCCCCCAACTTAATTTCAGACACCAAACCACAGATCTAGGAAGCTCAAAGAATACCCAGCAGGATAAATGGCAAAACAACTCCGCTGAGGTGTATCATTTTCAAACTACAGAAAATTAAAGATAAAGCTGGAGATAAAGAGAGAGAGATAAAAAGATAGAGAGAGCTAGAGAGGGAAAGGAGAGATAGAAAGGCTAGGATGGGGAAGGAGGAAGACGGAGAGTAAAGAAAAGGAAAGACAGCAACGTCATGGGTGAGAAGAGAGATGGCCGCAGAAAAGAGGGAGGTGGAATAAGGAGATGGGAAAGAAGAAGACTGGGGGAGAGTCTTAAAATGTCCTAGGATAAAGAGCACAATGGCAAAGTCAAACCATACAGTTTTTTTTAGTACCATATCTCCTCCATAGCTCTTTACAGTTTGGGGATTAATTTTTCTCTACAGTGCCTGGCATAGTGCTTGGCATATCATAGGCAGTCAATAACCATTTGATGAATCAATAGATGTTCGTAGATTGAGCTTGTCTCCTTACTGCTCCTTGAACACGCCAAGCACCCTGCTTGTCTTGGAATTCTCTCCAGAGATCCGCTTGGCTCATTTGTTTACCTGCTTCAAGGTTTTGCTCAATCTCACCTTCTCAGTAAGTCCTACCCTGAGTAACCTCTTTGGTACTGCACCTACCCCCATGTCCCCAGAGTCCCTTACCCTGCTCTTCATCCCCATCATGGCACTTACTGTCCTTGAAATACTATATAGTTTTACTTATATGTTGTATTCATGGCTTATTGTTCATCTCCCTCTGCTACACTGTAATTTCCATAGGGGCAAAGATCTTTGTTTCAGTTACTGATTTATCCCAAGCACCTAGAACAGTGCCTCTGCAAAATGGAAGTCAATGAAAATTTGTTGCATGAATGAATCAACTTTATCAATATTCTGTGTCCATGTTTTCTCTTGTCCTCTTTTTTCCCGTTCTCTTCTTGTTTCCCCTCCAAAAAAGTTGACAGAGAATGCAACCCTAACTTGTATTTGTCTTCACTCTTCCATCTCAGCTGCAGTGCAGCCAAATCCTGTATACGTGTCCTGCTGCTCCTACCCCGGAGGGTCTTAGTGGTTGGTAGGTATTGCTCTTACTGCCTGAGAAGGCCTGAATTGATGTGCAAAGAACACACTGTGGGTCCCTGGAACATCTAAGAGCAACAGGCCAGGTATATAATAGCCTGGATCAAATTTATTGAAAAGCTCTTCCATGTACTGATTGTTTCATCTGGGCATGAGTTATTTTTTCTCTAGGTTAGTAGTCCGACAATGACTTTTTGAAGCAATTTCCTGCCATCACAAATTCCTTTGTAGAACTAATTTTCCATGCAAGAGTATAATTCAAGGCTAATATTATTTGGCTTACACTCTGCCCTTTTTCGTGATACATTTAATAGCTGAGCAGGTCCAAGAGTAGTGTGAGTTCATCAAAAGGTCTATAAGTTGTCCTCAGATATTTTGGGGTCCGCAAACCCAAAGTGTGGTTTACTCAAGTTCCTTTACCCCTAATCCTTAAATCCATAGATATTTCCAAGTAAACTTCATTCATGTGTTTCCCATCCATTTGCCATTAGCCCTTCATCTTTAGGGGAGGGAGAGAGGCAGGCAGGAAGGCATTGTCCTAGGAACTGGCTTGCTTCTTCACTACCACAGACAGATCATTCATTAGCCACAGACCCAACTCCTTGGCAGAAGTCCATCCCTATATCCTTTCCAGTTCCCTTTTAACTGAAACTTCAACCTCAGCAAGCATCAGTGATAACTGCCAAAGAAAGTGAAGTGGAAAAAAGCTGCATTTTCTATCACAGAGGCACAGAATTCCAGAATCTTAGACTTGGGAAGTGATTCTACAGATCATCTGGTCCATACACCATGTGATACTTAAATCACCTGAACAATCTCCTGGGAGTTCCCTTTCAGTCTCTGCTTGAGCATCTTCAGGGGTGGAGCTTCCACAGTGGACCAAGACCATAGGGTCTTCAGCTTAAGCGATGGAATCTTCCCCTCTTTTCTCTAGTCCGAATCTTCCCAGTCCCTTCATCCATTCTGCAGGATTCAAAGACCAGTCCTCTTTGTTCTCTTCATGTTCTCTGCCAAGAGGATCTCACTTTCCCCCAGAGACCTCAGTCTCTGCCATACACGGGTCATTCCTAAGCCTGTACTTCCGGGTCCAACTTCCCGTGGGGCATCCTGAACATACTGAAACAAACTCATTACCTTAACCCCTCCTCCAAATCGTGTTAGTCATCTCGTGTTGCCACTTCATCCGGTAGAAGGCTGCGTCTAAAAGCTCCTCTCTCTCCCACACCCTCCACAGTTAGTTGACAAGTCCCATCAGATGTACTTATCAGATGTAGCTCCCAAGTCTGCCCCAGCCTCCTCATCTCCACCATCGCTGCTTCAGGCTTCGTCATCTCTCAACTGAACTGAGGCAACAGGCTCATCCCTCACCTGTCTGCCTCCTCAGACCTTTCTCCACATTGCTTCTTCAGTTACCTTTCCAGAAGAGCCAAAGTTCTGATGGCCTTGCTGCACTGATTCCTCAGACACAACCTATGACTGAAGCAACCGAGGCTCCTAGGCATCTGAGTGGGTCCCTTCGCACTGCACTCATAACGCTTTGTTCCTACCCCTATGGTTTCTCTTAGCACCTTGTTTCCTTACTATTTATTTACTTGTTTATTCTTCCAATGGGCTGTGAGGCCATAAAAGGCAGAAAATTTTTCATCTTTTCCTCCAAAACCTAGCCATAGTCTCCAGTGCTTAGTGCACACTCAGTAAATGTTATTGAGGAAATGGTATATGGGACCCTTCACCATCATGCTCCGTCTCCTCACACCAGGCTTCAGCTTGTCCAGATTCGTTTTTACAGTCTCATATGATTTCACAAGTGCACAGCAAAGTGATTTAGCCATCATCTTTGCTCATTAGTGTTGTCCAAGCTTCCATTAACTTTTTTGGCAGTTTCATTACACTCTACACTAAAATCCCCATATCATTCTTACCTGACCAGTGTGTGCTTAAGCTAAGATTTAAAGCTGTTGTTTATTTTTGTTTTTTATACTCAAAACCTAGGACCCTTACATGTGTTCCAGTAAATTCCATCTTGTTAAACTCAGTGTGAGTAGAGGATGGGCTCTGGGGAAGGCACAGTACCAGGAATTTGAGGATCACTAAATGGATATTGGGGGTTAGTAAAATGCCGTACTCTTTGTTTCAAATTGAGGCGCCTAAGTGTGTGCCATTGAGTTGAAGCTGCTTTGGAAGCCACACTCTGGGTAGAGTCAGTAACAAAATAATTGATTTTTTAGAGCAGTAAATTTTAACCACGTAGTAACCATGCTCGGAGAAGATGGTTGATTCCTGATGTCAAGACAGGTATTCAGGTAAAGATGATATATGTGGTGGCAGAAGTAAGAGCAGGCAGCAGAAACTGCTACTGAAAGTGATTTCCATGTCCTGGGATGGAGATACAGGAATGTGTACAGTGGAAAAAGAATTCTGTAATGAGGAAGAAGGTTAGGGGCAGGAACTGGCAACAAGTGGACAGAGGCATGGGGACAAAATTCACCTATTAAGGACAGGTGTTGATTTTTCCCAGGTTGGCTGGGCTGTAGATATTCTAGAGTTCCTGAGAGGTCATTGTGTTGGTCATGCTTAGATAAAGTGGGAAAAGAAAGTTTTCTGAGAGTACAGAATCATTGTCCCAAATCCTTACCTTGGCTCCAGGTCACGGAGGTAGCAAGAATGGGTTGATGGTCTCCCCCATCCTCATCCTGTCTGCATGCTTCTTTATCTAAGTCATGTAGAAAAATGGTTAGCTAAAGAGAAGCAAGGAGAAAACTGTGGCAACCCACTATAAAATGTTCAACCCAATTTTTTTTCTGTCCACTTGATTCTGAATCTAAGCCGCCAAATTTGTCCTGAAACCACTTAGTTCTTTAGGAATATTGGCTAACTTCCCTGAGCCCATTTATACCTCTTCTCTAGGTGAGGCTTCTCCAGGATGTCTCCAGTATCCTTCTGCTAACCTGTGGCTGGCAGAACTCCAGCCAGAGCTGCCAAGACCTTTCCAAACTGCCCTCCAGGAGATTCCAGGACTGAGTGTCACCCAACACTCATTCCCTGTCAAAGCTCTGCTTATCCTCCACGTCCACTGAGCTCTCCCCCTTACATCATAGAACAGACCACCCCTCCTTTATGAGCCTCTTTACCCAATATGTACCTCTTCTATAGCATCCATTGTGCTGTATTCGCAGCATGTTGTTACATTTCCCTGGAATTGAATGTTCTTTGGGGAAAGGCTTGTGCTCTTAGCCTCCTCTGCATGTTCCCATCATCTGGCTCACTGCCTGGCCCATAGTAGATCTCAGAAATGTTCTTTGAAAGAATGAATGAATAAATGATTGAGTAAATGAAATTCTATCATATTTGCTCACTCTCTCAGTGAGGTAACACTTTCTGGAAAGGAAACAAGATTATTTTTTCTAAGTGAACTTAGGCTAGTACCTATGATCACCACTTAATTTTCGGCATTTCATACCCTCATCCTTCAGTGACCCATTGTAGAACCTTATAGCATCCTTGTCCAGCTCACTGGTTTATTATTTTCAGGACCAGTCTTCCCCTTTTGAATAGCAGAACTACATCTGCTGGCCTCCAAGTGTCCAACATAAAAACTTGTCCAAGCTCACATGGCTGGTGAGTGGCCTCACCAGGAGTAGAATGCTGAGCTGACCAACTGCACGGCACTTACTGTACCCAGGGCCTCTCTGCATGGAGCTTTGTTAACATCCAGTTGAAGAGATGCCTTTAAACGTGAATTGTCATTATATTTCATAAACATATTTCATCAGGACACTGATAAACATTTCTGGCATTTTTTTTAAAGATTGGCACCTGAGCTAACATCTGTTGCCAATCCTTTTTTTTTTCTTCTTCTTCTCCCCAAAGCCCCCCAGTACACAGTTGTATGGTCTAGTTGTGGGTCCTTCTGGTTGTGCAGGCATTTTAGAGTATTTTCTTTTTCGTTTAAGCAAGGATCATATTTTCCTGTTGTTTTACTATCCATATCCAGAGAATGAGCTTCATTCAATGATCTAATTAAGATAGGTTTTTTTTTTTTTAAAGATTTTTATTTTTTTCCTTTTTCTCCCCAAAGCCCCCCGGTACATAGTTGTGTATTCTTCGTTGTGGGTTCTTCTAGTTGTGGTATGTGGGACGCTGCCTCAGCATGGTCTGATGAGCAGTGCCATGTCCGCGCCCAGGATTCGAACTAACGAAACACTGGGCCGCCTGCAGCGGAGCGCGCGAACTTAACCACTCGGCCACGGGGCCAGCCCCCTAATTAAGATAGGTTTTAACTGAGGTGCGAGGATTAGCCCTAGTTGGTGGAACTGTTCCCCCTCAATGCAGCCGCTTTCATCCTTATCAAATACATTAACTTGAGTGACCTACCCTGCTGCCATCACTACACACACAAGAGAACGTCATTTTGCTCCATTCATTTTTTCACATCAGGTTACCAAAAAGCCACTCGGTTTCCGTGTGCCACACTTCTGATAGATGCAGACTTGTGAGCCACCTGGAAAAGGGGACTCAACCAAATGACCTCTGGAGTTTTCTGTGGTTTTATTAATCTGGAAAACAGTTTAGTATAAGTTATTTAAGAGGTTAGTCAGAGTAGAATTCTCTGTTCAACAGTCTTTTAAATTTCTCTACCAAGTTCCACTAGTTGGGAACTTAAGAGTTTCTTGTGGGAATTCTTATGAGGTTGGCCATAGAAATACACAGCACAGTGCCTGCCACATAGAAGGCCTAAGCAATGTAAATCCTCTAAAATAGGATAGAATAAGATAAGACAAAAAATTGCTCTACAGCCAGTGATTTTTTTCTCGTCATATAGTGAGTAACAACTTAGCATCAAACTCTGTCTAAGGCTTCAAGGAAAAATGCCCTGGTGGAAATCTTGCCTTTTTAGCAACACTGAATTCATATATACTCCTAACATAAAAAATTAATGAACTTTCTTAACAGCTTATATAAAATATACGATATTTATCCTTGGACATAGCATTCAAATCTCCCATATTTATTTTTAAGCATTTCCCCTCAGTGACACCTATGGAAAGGAACTTTGCTTAAACTCGGAATTTGACGGCTAATATTCACACATATGGCAAATATGAACTAATCAGACCACAGATACTTTGCTGCATTCCATGGTGTCTCATTTGTTTGTTTAATTTGCAGCTATAGCAACTAGATTCCACCCCTTCAGGCTTTTACACAGACCTGTAGTCTGATCAGCTTGGCTGAAGCTTGGCACTCGGCACCGTGCTCAATTGAAGACATATGCACAGGCTCACTCACCGCATTTTTAACCTGTTTTTCACACTGGGTAGGTATGTCATATTTGCATAAAAATAGGAAAAGCAACCTTCTGCAAAGATCGTAAGCAATTAAAAGATGCTGTGACCTTCTTTCCCGTAACATTTCAAATCTTAAAGTTTTCTTGGCATGCTTTTCAAAAGCTCATCTGACTTTGAAGCGGGCTGCCTCTCCACGGAGAGCTCACTCCAGCGATGACTAATGGATTGACCTGGTGCCATGCTAGTGCTGCTGCACACACGCTGCTCTGCACAAGATGAGCATTTGGAAATGACCTTGAATGAGAGTTCTGCCAAGTTAATGAAATATGGGCCTTCAAGCAGTGCCATTTCACAAGCAATTTCCAGAAGGGTATTTGCAGCATTGTCAAAACTTGGCCCCTGAACTTGGTATTGGTTTACCATGAGTGTTTAACATACATAAGGAATGATGATGCTCTCTCTTGATTTTATTAGTTGCACTTTGTAACAGGTTGGAAAAATTAGGTAATGGTGAAAATTGGCATCTCCCTGTTGTTTCTCTTAGGTGTTTTTTTCAAACATTTGCTGAAGGAAGGGCAGATGCTCAAAGGGTCCAATTGTAAATGGGGAGATGAGAGTTTAAAATGAAGGGTAAGCTGCAAGTGGGGGTGAAGATACAGTTAATGGATAAAGAAAAGATGGTCAGAAGAAGTACCTCTCTGTGCTTGTAAACTGCCCAGTTGATATGATTCCAACTCACCAGGAGGGGAACATTTCTTTACCTCCATATGCACACCCATATAGTAATCTGTTGTAGTTGTTTAAAGATATTCATCGATATTGACATCAGTTGCCGCAATATGGTTTTCCGTTTTACTGAGTGATGTATTTATGTTGGTGCACAATGTCTCCTTTTGATTGCATTTCTCATGCTGGTGAAGTTGGCTGACATTTCAGGATCTGGATAAGGAAGCTGTGCTTTAACCTTATTTGGAAGCAAGTGATCTGGCTCCTGCCTTGGCATAACTTTGGAAGGTCCCCCTCAGCTTCCCTTCCTGTGACCTCGCTTCCATAACCACGGGGAGGCTGAGACAGGCCAAGGTCAGGGCAGCCAAGATGGGAAGTTGGGAGAACAACGGGGAGCAAGTCATGTTCTCTTAATTCATTCTTAATTAATTTCCTTAAGCCAGCTGAAAGATTTTTATACAAAATCAGATTCTATTCTTCTTAAAAGAGAGAAGATGAGCATTCAGGCCCTCTGGAGCTCTCTGAGGAGCCTTTAAAAGACCTGTGGCTGTTCATATTCTGTAAATGCTGATAATCCACACTGAGTAATCCTGGGAAACACGCGTCTATAAGATCAGGGCAAGGTACTGTCAAGAGCAACTTCCCAGAACATTCCTTCTTACTTCATCAGGGACTTTTCAATAAGTAATTTGATATTTCTGTAAGTTTAAACTGAAATCACTAAAATGAAGGCATTTTTTCCTTATAAGCTCAAGCCTTCCAGACTCATCATTTTGTAGGGTTACATAAGTGAGCCATGCAACTAAGCTAAAAGTCTAAATTATAGAATATAGTTGTTGCAAAACTGTTCACATTTTATACGGTAACTTCTGTTAAACACAGTAATGTATTCTCAAAACAGTTTTTGCATGCATTAATTCATTGAAACCAAGCTTGGCGATTTTTCATTAGATTTTGCTAAAGGTCATATGCTAAATTATTTGCTTGTGAATTTTTTTTCCCAATTGTCCGTATTTGGTAAGTTTGCTTGAAAGGTTCTGGCACAAGACACTCAGAAAGAGTCCATTATCCTACCCTATTTTCTTTATCAGTCTGGATTTAGGGTCATTTGCTTTAAATACAGTACCACACCTTTTTTTTTCACGTTTAAGTGTTTTTAATTGAACACATTTTCCCACATAGCCCTCATCCCTAATTTAGAGCCCTCTCATATTAATACAACTTATTTTTAATGTATTTCCTAAAATGTTTCTCAACTTCTTAAATAAAGAAGGAATAAAAAAAAAAAAGAAGAAGAGGGATGAGAAAAAGAGAGGAAAATGCAGCAAGGAACATGAACCATAAGGAACACTAAGACTTGTACTTAATATTGTAGATCACAGATCACAGGAACCGAGAGACAGGGTAAAAAGGGACGGTCCAGGTGAATGAGCTTTGATCCCCCCAAAATTCTGGCATCCTTGCGTCCTGCTGACTTCAGCACTCAGCCCTGCCTTACTCCTCCTGGTATTTTCATTTATCCCTTCAGTAAACATTTTAGATATGAGGAAGTGGGAGCCTATCATTATTCAATATAGGCATAAAATACCTTTACCTTTAACCCATCATCACAACCTCACCATCCCTCTTTTTTTAGAATCATATGAGATTATTTATGTGCGTTTGAATAAACTGTGAAGCATTTTCTTTTGAAAACCTTCGTTCAGTGGCCCCACACAGCTCCCCCTAGTTGAACAGAGGCCTTCTTTCCAAACCCCAGGTAGGGGCTTTCTCAGCTTTTATTCTAACGTGATAGAACTTTGTCCTGTTTGCTTTCATGTCATATCGAACCTTAAACATTTTCTGCGTACCTGCGTATAAGTTTATACCAGAACACACGGTTGAAAGCAATTCCATCCTGTATTAATCAGGGTCCTCCAGAGAAACAGAATCAATAGGATCTGTGTGTATAGTAAGGAATTGGCTCAGATGATTGTGGAGGCTGAGCATTCTCAAGATCGGCAGTCGACAAGCTGGAGAGCGGATGGTGTAGTCCATCCAAGTCCAAAACCTGAGGACCAGGAGACCCGACAGTGTATGTTCTAATCCAAGTCTGAGTCCAAAGGCAGGAGAAGATCTGTGTCCCAGCTGGAGGACAGTCAGGCAGAGGGAGCGAATTCTCACCTGCTCAGCCTTTTGTTCTGTTCAGGCCCTCCCTGGGTTGGATGAGGCCCACCCACACCGGCGAAGGCCATCTGCTTCACTCCGTCTGTGGATTCAAGTGTTACTGTCTTTCAGAGACACTCTCACACACGTACCCAGAATAATGTTTGACCAGATACTTGGGCACCCTGTGGTCCAGTCAAGTTGACACATAAAATTAACCATCACAGATCTCCGTTGAAAACTCCTCTTTTCCTTTAAAAACCAACCCCATTGGTACAGGTCTGAATAATGCTTTCCTCTCTCCAAACCATTAAAGTTACACTAATGTTGGTCAACCCGGGCTGGTCCAGACCTCATGCTCAGAGCTTCTGATTCAGTCAGTCTGGGATGGGACCCATGCACCATCTGTATTTTTTTAATGGGTCCTCACATGGTTCTGAGGCACAGCCAAGTTTGAGAAGCCTTGAATTTATTGGTCTCTGGGCTTCCTTGGGGTTCAAAGAAAGTGGTTATTAGAAGAACTCAAAGAGGGCAATCACTCTGGTGATGGCTGGAGCTGAGCTGAATGGAGGGTGTGGCAAAGAGATAAACCCCATTAAACGTGCACAACCAGGCCAACTTAACCATTATGGGCTAGTTACATGGTGGTGTCTCTGCCTCAGTTTCTCCTGGGATAAAATACTGGCACCATCCCAAGATTCCAAGAAAAAATGAATCAGTATTAACATTTCTTAGAAGATTCAAAGCATAATACATGTGTCAATTATCATTAATCCTTGAAAATATTTATGGAGTCAAATGGTCTGTAACTAATTAGAGATGGCAGTTAACGGGGAATATGGGTTTCCTCCGAGTTATATGAAACAAAATATAAATCTTTTAAATAACTCTATTTCCTACAAAAAGGATTTTTACTCGTCGGTGGGATTTTTAATGTTTTATTTTATTTTCTTGGATCTCATTACTTTTCCGTAAATCCTATAAGCAGAATTGCAATGAGATGAGTCACAGTCTTAATGGTTTTTTGGAGTTTCTTCTGCCAGTGCAACTTGGAATATAGGGGATTTTTCAAAGCTGTGTTTGGGAAACATGGGAAAGGATGGGAGGGATGGAGGCAAGGAGGAAGAAAGGTGGGAGGGAGGGAAGAGGGAGGAAGGAGGAAGAAAAGAAGGAAGGAAGGAGGGAACAAGGGAGAGAGGAGGGGCACAAGATATTTTACTCTAGATTACATTTTTTTGACTTAATGATATTATGAAGGTAAAACTGTCATCGTATCTCATCCGTATGTTGTAGACAACCCTGAAGTGCAAAGGGGTTTGGGTTTTAAAAGTTCATTCATGAGCTAGTCATTTGGCACTGGGAACACATTTTCCCACAAAGATTTTGTTCCGTAAGCGGTAATTAATTTCCGAGGCTAGCTCATAATCTCTCTTCATTCTGTTTTGAAGCCAAATGATTGTGCATTTACAGTGAGAAGCCGCCGACCATACTGTTGAAAACTTGTACATCTAAAGAACATGAAAGCAATGAAATCAGTTGTGGAGTCACTAAAAGCTTTCCACTCAAATGTTGGTGCCGGAGGGAAAGCAGAGTTAACTGGAGGAGCCTGAGGATGCTCAGAACATCTCATGTGGATATGTGAGCGCGCCGGTCAAAGGAGCAGCAACATTCTCTCTTGAGGGTCTCTGCAGCCAAACTATGCTTCAACCTGGTCACCAAAAAGCAACACACTCAGACCATATTAGCGAGGCCTCACTAAAAATGCCTCCTTTCCTCGGGGCAGTGAATTGTGACGGAGCACATGCTGTGTGCGATGTGCTCCTTACCACTTACGCGGGAAGGACAAACAGGAGAACCCCTCGCCTTGTAGAGTTTACAGTCTAGTAGGGGAGACAATCAGATAATTGTGCAAACAGATGATCTAAGATTCATCGATTTTTCTGAAAAATTATTGTATGTATATTAAAGTCCATACATATTTCCAAGGAATTATGATGACTTGTCTAAGATGCACGTGGGGATCGGGGGACACAAATCTTTGCTACATCCCCTCCATGGACCACCCACTTACTTAGCCTATCTCCTTTAATCCTCAGAGTGACCCTGAGGAGTAGGGCTCATTATTCTCAGATGAGGAGCTGAGACAAAGATGGCAGGACACTCTCCAAGCCAGAGTCTGGGTGCAGCCAAGCCAGTCTGATTCCAGGCCCTTTCTGCCAATCCAGGCTGCCCCTTCCGCAAAGCCACTCGAGATATTCCCTATTATCTTCCTCGGTTTTTTTTATATGTGTGTCCATGCAATAACCTCCTCCTAGGATTTCATACTGGGAACAGTATTGTCTCCCCTGAGGCTGGTGTCTTCCTGTTTGTTAGTGTGAGCTATTTCCACTTCTCCTCTGATGCCATACTTGGTGTCCTCATGCCACAGCCAGCTCACCTGTGGCTTCCAGCACAGTTTTCTCTCCTTTCCAACCATATATTTTTGTCTGATTCTTTATTTTGTGTTGATTCCCACTATCCTGAGTGTTTCATTGCAAGCTGCTATGGCCTTCTGAGAAATAGTTGGAATGTACGTTACACCAATAGAAAAGAAATAGATGTGACTTCTGGAATTCCTCGAAGCTCCCTTTTGGTTTCCTGCTCATGACCTAGAAGAGGGCCTTGCCCATAGGAGTGAGTGGTAAGCGTGGATTGATTGTTAGAGGATCGTAGCAGTTCTGAAGGACAGCTCTGGCTATTGGAAAGAGGACAGGACGCTGTGGCTCTGGCTCTATACATCCGCTTGCCTGTAAGACTTGCCTGTTCTCCTTTTCCTGATGAGAGATTTCTCGCCTACGTTTTCTTGCGTTTATCACTCATGAATGGAATATAAAGGGCGATGATCACGGCCAGCAAGTATCACGTCCTCCCCCTCGCCGTGCTAATAAGCACTTTCTAGATATTGTCTACTCCATCCTCACAACCCTGTTACTGTTCCCATTTCACAGAAGGAGAAACTGAGGGTTAAGGAATTCAAGTGGTTAATGGGGACAGCAAGGAAATAACCTTTCTCCTGGCAATTCAGCAAGAGAGAGAAGAAAAGAATAGGAAAGAAAAGGGATTACCTAAAAGAAAGAAAGTGCTTCAGGCACGATGGGTGTAATGCGGAAGAGGTCTGAGAAGGGTCGCAATTAAGTTATAAGGGAATTGTTCTCCATGCGCATCCCCTGCTCTGTTGACAAGCGGGAGGGAGAAGTCATGAGCAAGTGGCTATTTTTATATGTGAGACATTCTCTCATCAGGGGATTATAACTGTGAGGGGAGAGGAGTACTTAAAAATGTCTTTAATCCACATATTTATTTAGACAATTTCAAGTTCTACAGTTTATGAACAGAAACCTAAAGGTTTTTCTTTATGTTCTGGGCTGGCCCTTGTTGTCCTGTGGCCTCCAGCCCACAGTAAGCCCAGGGTCCCTGGAGAGTCTGGACATGTGCCTGATCACTCTACCTCTTGGCAGGTGACCCCCAGCTTGCTCAGAGTCATTGCTGCTCCTGGGAGCACCTCTGCAGGCTCTCAGGGCACATCTGAGGCTCTCCAGAGCAGAAAAACAAAGGAACAGGATCCTCGCTGTCTGTTTACCACGGAGAGAGGAGAAGCTCCGTTGTGAGGAGTGCTGTTGAACCGTCCCCAGGAGGTGGGCCTCCCCTAGGGAGTGAGAAGAGCCACAGTAAGAGATGAACTCATTCACGGGCGTTTGCTCAGCAGATATTTACTTAAGACTCTTGTGCCTTGGACCCTTCTGAGTACTGATTTTGTCCCTCTTGAGAGAGAATAGCCAACCAAGGGAGAAATTAAAGCTCCAAGAAAGGGTGGAGGAGAGAAGAGCTTGAGTGACGCGTTTTCAGGAGCTGAAACGGGAAGTTTAGAGTAGACGCAGTGATTTGGGGCGCATTTCCGTTCATGCTGAGTTTAGGGAACTCAAAATAATTGTCTCTATCCAACAGTGGAGTCAAAGGTGGGGGCACAGGTGGAGCTGTGGTTAGAGGAATAAGCAGGGGCTCGGCTCTGGGAGGGCCTCACATACCAAAAACTGGTTCAGGTTTTATCTTCCGGGAAACAAGAAGTATGTATGGCAAAGTTTTGCATGAGGAAGGTGATTCAGCTGACACATTGGAGAGACTAGAAAAGAAAGGAAGGTGACCCAGGCGGAGGTGGGAATCCCACCACACGTGTACAGCCTGCGGGGAGGCCGACCGACTGCAGGAGAGGCGCAGGGCCTGCGGCCGCCCTGGCAGGTCCCGGGCCTGTGTCCTGGCCCAGCAGCCTGAGCTTGATCCCAACAGCTTTGGGGAGTTGCTGAAGGACTTAAACAAAGGGAGAGTGACGTCAGAGAAGCATTCTAGAAGCCTCCTCCTCCGAGGTTCTCTGAGGGAGAAGAATTGACAGGGACAGCCTGGATTGAGAGGGGAAGAGAAAAAGGCTGAGAATGGAGCTTCGCCCACGCTCCAGGCAGGAAAGACTGAGAAGGAGCCGTCTCAGGGGCGGGAGAAGAGCTCAGGGAGAAAGATGATGGAGGAAGCTCAGAGGAGAGCACTTCCGGAAAAGGAGGGGGTCAGCCACCGAAGGGGCGGGGTCGGCAATGTCCTGCCCCTCACGGAGATCTGATCAGACAGGACAGAGACTGGCAGGGCTGCTGAGGAGCCGCAAAATGATGACGGGACAAACAGTAGAGAAAAGAGGAGCCTGTCTGAAAAGCCAAAAGCAATAGAAAAAGCATCCCATCGATGTGGCATTTTTTCGGTGAGGGAGGATGGGTTGCTTCACCTTTCACTTCAGCGAGAAGCCAGGGCAGATTAAGGAACGGCATTTGAAGGGTAGATAATTTTCCCTTACCAGCCTCACTTCCCTGTCACCCTCCGTTTTCTCCCGGTGAAAGAGGTGCTATTTCTGACACGCCTCTAGAGGGGTCAGAAGTTTCTCCAGCTACAGGATAATGGCCTTCGGTGCTCTTTCTACCACTTAATGGACTGTCATCTAGAAAAATTTTTTTCTATATTGATCTGAATGTTAATCTATACATAATAAGGATAGATCATAGGAAAAGATGCAGAAGAATGTTAAAAAGAAGTTACTTGTTTTGCGCATTTCTTGAGGGAGGAAGGAAGAGAGACTTTACAATAATCCTTCCATGTGTGATTCTCATTTGTCAGCACATCAGAAGCAACAAAAGCAGAAACACAAAAGGACGATTTGATTAATTGGAAGGCTGCATGATTTAGATTACATGTCCTTCTTTAAAATTTTCTGAAATCTGCTCTAGATATTTAAGAGCCTTCAGAAATTTTCTGTGGACACGCCATCAGAGATAAGCCGTTAGTTTTTGTGAGGATTCAAAAAGGGAAATGCATTTTAGAAAAGAGATGAAATTGGACCTGACTTGGAGAAAGAGTTCTCTGACCAGATGTCATTTAAAGACACCGGACTGCGGGCTCCAGGCTTTGACTGTTTCTCAAGATAAATATGCATGCAGGAACCAGGAGGGGCATTTTCAGAGGTTGCTATGAAGTTGGTCTCTGTGCTGAGCAAGCCCATGACATCTTTGAAGGTATGAGAGCACAGATGAGACATCAGTGCTTCACAATCCCTTCTCATAATTTCTCTAATCTTGGCGATAAAAAAAAGAAAAGAAAAAACTCTCCAGGAGTGTAAAATGTTATTGCATTTGCAACAGTCGTCATGGTTACCTGCATAGTTTCGTTGCTTTATTAATGTGTAATTCCCTTTATTTCTGGAAATATCATTATAGTGAAACATAACAGTCTGCAGCTTTGTAGCCAGTTTCGCCGTGTATCTCAGAGACTCTGACAGTGGCTGTGATGAATGCGTGTGCGGTTTCTGGGCCACCTGTGTGCTGTTGATCCAGTAACTAGGACATCATTGTTTAGGAAAAGACAACTTGAAGTTAATGACTCTTGAGAATCTCTTAAAAGTTCAAATGCTTCCCTAAACAAAAGTGCTTATTTTTTCCTAGAGGAAAATGATCCAAAGCTTCAGTCTAACTAAAATAATTTAGCTTTTCTGACATTCAAACTTTTTTAACGTAATTATTATTACCTACTGAAGTCACTTTGAGGCATTCAGGAAACTTTTCTGATCAGTTCTTTTAAAATTATCTTTCCTGAATTTGTTCTTTGTATCATAGGAGGGTTTTTGTGAGACATTGCTAATAGAGGTTTTGAAAAGTTTTTCTAAGTGTATTCTCCTGCTACTCAAGTTGAAGCCGAATAAAATAGTTCAGCAAGTTATCTTTCAGGCTAACTGCTTAGGACAGATACTGCTGGCTGATCGCTACAGTCATTTCTCTTCTTCCTGGGCACTCACCAGACTACATTTCCCAACATCCTTGCACTTAGGTCTCACCATGAGACTCATGAGATGGTGGAATGGCAGTGGAAGTTATGAAATCGCTTCCAGATTTGGCCCATGAATACCTCCCACTTAATCCTCCCATCCCTTGTTATCAGGATGGTTGATGACTCTGCCAGTCTGGACCCTTGAATAGCTGAATGGGGCAGAGGCTCACTGCCCACCAGGAGCATCGATTGTTATGGAAGGAGACAGACCCCCTGAGATGTGAGGGTTGTGTGCTGTATCAGCTTGTGTCACCCTAACTAATACACCGCTAATCAACATTTCTTCTAAGTGGCCCTGTCATCCTTGGGAGAAGGTCCATGTTTTTCATCCACAGGTTTTTCCTATAGCTTCTTTCACAGCCTTCAGAAAGAAACTGGCAATGTAAATTCCAAGACCCCTAATCAGAGTCCAGATAACAGATAACTTTGCTGTTTTGGACAAGTGCTGAAGACCTGAATGGCTGAAGCAATAGTAGGTAATTGGCAAATATCATCAGACCCGTATGGTTTGTGTGCACAGGGAACCAAAGGAAATGGAAGTAACCTTTTCTGGATAGTTCTATATGCCAAGTACTGTGTTTGCTCCTCCTATACAGAGCCTTATTTGCTCTCTGTAATTAATTTTCTAAGGAGCTCTGTTATTCTCATTTTACATATTTTTGAAGTGTCATATAGTTTTAATAACTGCTTCATAGCTAAGGAGTAGCAAGGGAGGATGCAAATAAAAGTTAGCCTGGGACCAAATCCAGCCAAGTTTCTACTTTGCTGCTTTTCATGGTAGACACTCAGTTAACTAACATCAGTTGATCATCATGTTTCAAGACAGAATGATAGCTAATAATAATTGAAAACATATGGAAAGAACATTTGATTATCTGTGATGTTGGAAACAGAAACTCTCATTAGATATTTAGAAAATTATAATAGTGATATTGTTGAGTTTTGCCTCTAACTTAATTAAGATATCAAAACAGCTGTTGTAATAGATACCAAAATAGCAGTAGTTTAAAACTGATGGTCTGGAGCTCGCTGTTCTGGTGAGGTCACTAGGGCACCAGGCTCTCTCATCTGGTTGCAGCTGGATCCTCTAGGATTGTTATTCATCTCCGTGGTGGTCAATGGCTTGCCACAGCACATCTGCATTTAAGCCATTGAGGGAGAAGAGGGCACACGTCTTGCCAGTTAAAGGCACAATCCAGAAGTGGCACACATCACTTTTGCTCAAAAAAGTTGCCTGGTGTCGTGGCTATCTAACTGCAGGAGAGTCTAGGAGATGTCATCTTTACGTACTTAGCCTTGTGCCAGCACTTCTCTTCATACAGAAGAAGGGAACAGGAGATACTGTGGGACAAATAGCAGCCTTTGTCACACCTTCTTTCCTTTCTCATTCTTTGATAAACTTGCTAATGAGAAAGATCCAAAACAGCAGTAGCAAAAAAGAGAAGGAAATGAATCAAGGAAACTAAGTGATTCAGAAATTGAATATGTCCTTTCTCCTTAACCTCTTCCAGCACATATGCTAAAAGAATCAAGAGTTAGTGCCTTGGCTAAATTGCTTTGAAATAAGCTATAACTATTAAATCAAGCATTCTCTAAATAAAATGATTGTAACAAATTGAGGACAGATGAACAAAGACTGGATATTAATCATATTAAGTAATTAGAATTAATTTCATTAGGTCTGACATGTGGTTAACTTATAAAACAAAACCTCATCTGGTAGAGATATTTACTGAGGTATATATAAGTGAAATGATATGATGTCTGGAGTTTGCTTTAAAATACTCCAGGAAAAAATGGAAGAGGATTGATTAATATTTAAAATTAGATTGGGAAAATGTGAGTTGTTGAAACTGGATGATAGGTGCATGGCGGTTCATTGTGCTATTCTTTCTACTTTTATGTCTATTTGAAATATTCCATACCATAATAAAAAGTTAAATAAATACTTGTTCCAGGAAAGAAAAGCAATTTTTGGCAATGCCCTGGTGTTCGTATGAGCTCATTTCTGTACTCCAGTTAAGTGCATTCTTAAGTTTCCAGTGTATTATTATTTATTCTGCATGCATACAACTGGAAAAAACTCATTTCATCTAAAGAATTTGTTAACAATTTGCTTTTGAGCCAATTAAACAAACCTTTAGAGAGTGCCTGCTGCATCTACCGATGCAAGAGATGCAAACACGAGTAAGATAAGGCCTCAGACCACTAAGTTTAAAGGCTAATTAGGCAGATAAGACCCTCTCTCAAATAAATCTGATTTAAGAGAAGTCTACAAGAAGGCTTAAATATTAGGAGATCACATCAAATTGGAAGGATCAGGAGAAATTTCCTGGATCACATATCATAAGCTTTAAAGAAAGAGTAGGCTTTTGACAGTTGGAAGTGGTGGGGAGAGACTCCCCCTGTCCCTCTGGGCAGGGGACCACCCAGAGAAAGCCTCTAAACCAGAGAATATGTGATGGTTTCCTGGTGACAGGAAAGGGAGATATGGCTTTGAGTGTGAGTGTCTAGATGTCCTCTTAAAAAAAAAACAAAAACAGAGGAGTCAAGAGGACCTGACTGAGAAAATTCATACTCTCTATAGGGACATGCTATTCTTGAGACACTGTTGAGACTCGAGAAATCCATCCCCACATATGGTGTTGGAGCACAGAGAGAGGTTAGCATGGGTAGTCAACTGCAAATTGATAGTTGATGAGTTTATAGATCGATGATGAGTTCACAAGTGAAGAGAAGATTGGTTTTTAAGGCTAGTTTTGTCAGAGTAGAGGATGGAAATTATACAAAGACATCATTATGAAACGACATAATGATTTCAGTTGGCATTGAAGACAATATGAGTCCTTGGTGTCTCAACATCTGTGTCCTTCCGCTTCCCCTTCTGTTGAGTTCTCAGCACTTCCTTACCCACATAGAGCCTACTTAGCTCTGCTTTGTCTCTCCTCTCTCCTCCAGCCTAAGCATCCCCAAAAGTTGTCTACACAGAATGTCTGCATCGCCTGACTTCCATTCACTCTTTAACCCACTCTGAATCAGAATCCTGCTTCACCATTCCACTGAAACTGTGTTCAGTCCACTGAAATTGTGTTCAGTTCAACATGGACGGCGTGTAGGGACTTCCATGTTGACCAATTCCATGGACACTTTTTACTCCTCACTTCTCTTGACTCTGAGCAGTATTTGACCTAACTGGTCCCTCCCTACTCCTTGGAACTAACTCTGCTTGGCCTCTGGTTTTCTCCTGGCCGCTGCTTCTCATTTTCCTTGCAGCTCCTCCTCTCCTGACCATTTACATATTGTGGCACCTTGGGACTAAGGCTGGACTCCCTTTTCTTCCTCTAGTCTCTCCTGGAGGGGTTTCTTCCTGTTCCACAGTCTCACCTAACAAGAATCAACAAAGCGCCCACATTTATATCTCATTTGAGTTGTGGACCTACCTAACACCTCTACTTGGATTTATCACAGGCCTTTCCTATGGAACAGATCCAAACCGAAATTTAGACCCCGACCTCTCTCCCAAACCTGTTCTCCAGCATGGTAAATATCACCACCATTTACCTTGCTGCCCAAGCCCAAAAAGTGCAGTATTTTGTTTGCAAAAGGTCCACAGGAAACCCAAGGAAATCCCTCTTCACTGTGAAATGTCCTCTGACCCCCAGACTGCTCCCTAAGGTGGGCGAAGTGTGTAAGCCATAAAAATAAAGCTTTCTGATGTAGCTTCATTGCAACATAGCAGTTCCGTTTAGGCACCAGCGCTCGCTTTACATTTAAATTTGTGCTTGACTTTAAGCCAAATATTTTAAAGGATTCTGTGGCTACTTATATTGGGCAGCCAAGCTCTCTGAGCCTGACCACGTTTGGTTACATTCAGGACCAGCCCCAGCAGGCCCGGTAAGTAGAGGGGACGTCACAAACCATCCAGGAGATGCTGCTGCTGCTGCTCTCTCCACTGGATTAGAATCCACAGGTTGTGGACCTCTCCACCACCCTTTACTCTGACCAGAGTGGTGAGAAACAGTAACCCCAATGCTCCTCTTTGGCGAGGGACTAGGGACACTTTCCTTTCTATCCCACTAGGTCTCCAGAGGATGGAATTAAAGTCGTCTTGGTTTTATCCATGCCTGTAAGTCTGTGTTGTCTGTGGAAAGGCACAGTGATTTGGAGGAAAGAGAACCGGCTTCGAGTTCCAGCTCAGGAACCAGCAACTTAGCTGTAAATCTGGTTAGCAGAGTAGCCTTACCTCTACTCTTGCTCTCCTCCCTTCACATCCAGCACATGATAAATATGACTGACCCTCTTGGTGTTTGCTCTGTGCTGGACACCGTCTTGTGCATGAGTGAATTGTCCAGTCCCCATGACAACCCATGAGTTAGTCGTCGTTATTATCACTGTTTAACAGATCAGGAAGCTGAGGCAAAGGGAGTTAGAATTTGCTCAGAGACACCCAGCTGATGCAGAGTCAGAATTTAAATTCAGGTTACCCAACTCCAGCTTGTACCCTCCTAACCTCTTTGCTATACCAAGTTGGGTAGAAAGTACCTCTGAGTTACTTTTTCCCCTCATTCCTGTTGTGCCACCGATATAAGATATGCCATCAGTTTAATTCAATGGGTGTTCAGGAACAAAGTAAGCATTCCCAAATCAAGTGTAGTTAGAGTGGGACTGTTTTTTAAAATTCTAACCAGTGCTTTCTCCTTCTTGGTAATTCCTTTTTACCTCATATCCCTGAGGCTTTTAGCTTCAGGGACAAGCTAATTGCAGAAAACAAAGAGGCAAATTCTCGACCACTGGCTTCTAAGATTGGGTCACACAGTTCATAAAGAATAGTCTGGAGCCAGTGTTCTTTTCTTGTTTTGTTTTGTTAATTACAAGACAGAATTTCTAAAAAGATAAGCTTGAAAAATATCTCCAAGTTTTCTTTGCATATGAAGTACCAGAGCCAGACAATTTAGTAGAGTTTGAGAGAATGAGGGGTTCCATTTGAGAAGCTTCCTGTCCATCAGAGATAAAATTTTGGCTATTGGAGGGAGGAGAATGTTCACTTGAGATACTGGAGGACGCTGAGAAGGTACCATGTGCCCTGGGGACCCTAGAGATGGGAGGTGAAGAAAACTGCAGAAGCGTTTGGGGAAACCCCAGAGTACAAGGGACCCGGGTTTGATTCCAAACATTGCTCCGGGAGAGGCCACACCTAATAGGGAAATTTTGGAGCAGCGTGGTGGTGGAGCGGAAAAGCAGCAACAACTGGTTGAGGTGTCCAGGCAACATGGAAAACATCTTAAAATTCCCTTTGTCCCCAGAGGTTGCCCTGGGAGGGGATCAGACGAGGCTTGGTGTCCTGAGGAAGGGACACCATCAGCAGATTTGATGTGGATTCCATGTGCTGGAGGCTGTGGAAACAGAAGCAACATCAGCAGCAAAGCACTGTAGGTCAAAGTCCTCAACAAAGACCAGTAGGAACAAGGATGGGCTAACGGACCAGATGGCTTCTCCCTGATGCCGTGACATATGTGGGCCTCCTTAGAATTTAGATACCACCCCAGGAACAAGAAGAAAGAGCAGAACCCTGATTTGGCTGTGTTTAAGTTCTGAATTTGACTGTGAAATAACTGAGCGTGATAGTTTCCCGGGAAGGGGCTGTAGTTTTAGTAGCTAAGTCACTCAAGGTCACAGAGCTAGAGAGCACTGCAGCCGGGATTCCAGCCCAGGCAGAATGACTTCACTGTCCCACTCTAAATCACCAGCTTTGCTGTATCTTTCTATACTCCACTATCTCCATGTTTCCCACAACTAAACGGAATGGTGGCTCATGGCCTAAGTTAAATTATGTTACGGAAAGATAAAGGGCGATTGTGAGGTTCACCTGTGACATCACACAATGAATTCTAAGATGCATACCAATGTCAGTAATGCTAAAATGTCTTAGCCTGGAAGAAATATAAGATATATTCTCTTCTCTCCATCTCTATTGTCGCCATTTAATCCATGTCTTACTTGGACAATTGCCAAGTGCCTCCAAATTGAAAAGTTTAGGCTTTTACTATATTATTGGGAGCAAGAGAATTAGGACCAATGCATGGAAGCTTTAAAGAGACAGCATTCTGTGCAGAATCAGAGAGAACTTCTTCATAATCTTGGATATCCAGAGATAGAATGAGCATCCTTGAGTGGCACCAAGTGCCACATCCCTTGAGATGTTAGAGCATAGTGAAGATGCCTACTACTAAGAAGGGACCTTAGCAGGGGAATTCAGTACAGAACATATGGCTGGATGACGCGACCTTTAAGGTCCCTTCCAACTTTGAAATCCTGCCATTTTAGAATGGAGATTGTGATCGCCAGATTCTTGTGTGTTTTAAAGAGTGGAAGATGAGGACATGGAAGCAGCAGGAACAGACTAGTCCTTTGAAGATGGTTCCCACTGAAGAAAGCAGGGCTTTATTATGTGATATGGTAGGACTGCGGGAAGATTTTAACACTGGGAAAAACTGAGCATATTCATAGGTAGGAGGTAAGAAATTGGTAAAAAAGGAACAATTAAAAGTCAGAGAGAGTTCTGTTCCAGTATCTATTGTGTAATATACTACCCCCAAAATTTGGTGGCTTTAAATAACAGCCCTTGTACTTTATCTCGGGATTGTGTAGGTCTGGAATGGAAGCAGTGCTCCACGGGGTGATTTTTCTATGCCACATGGTATCGACAGAGGTCACTCAGTGATCTTCAGTTGTTGTGGACTGGTGCCTTGATAGGGATGGCTGGAAGGTTGTCTTCAACTGCGACTGTGGACCAGGGCACCCAGTTCAGCTGTTTACATGGCTGCTGATAACTCCAGGCAAAACTGCAGAGCTGCTTAAGTCCTAGCCTCAGAAGCCTAAAGCATCACTTCCGCTGCATCCTATTGGTCAGTCAAGTCCCTAAGGCCAGGTCAGATTCAAGGGGAAAGGAACTTGATGCCATTCCTCAGTGAGAGGATCAGTGAAGAATTTATGGCCATCTTTAATCTCCCATAGAGACAACTGAGGGAACAAGATTCTGAACAATGTGGGGAGTCCAGGTTGAGAGCATAGGAAGATAGATTATCCTTAGAATGGTGGAGGAACTTGTCTGCCTTGGAGATAAGAACAAGAAAAAGGGTTCCAGAAAGTGGAGATAGAAATTTTGAGAGGAAAACAAGAAAAAGTGGGAGGAATTATTTTCAGAGAGAGTTCAAGGAATCCTGGGCTATCTAGTGGACAGAAAGATTCATGTAATGGAAATTATGCCACCCACCCACTCTGTATATTTTACCTCTGGGTTGTTTCCTCATTCTGATAATGCATCTTCACTGGTTTCCCCAGGCATGCCTCACACAGACTTTTGTCTGAGGGCACTGTCTGCAAGATTGTTGGCTCATAGTTTCAATGTTCTTCACAGACCCCATACAGCACACCAAACTCTGGTGTAGTCCCGGGCTGTGGGGCAGGTAAATTGGTCTCCCTGGAAAATGAGTCCTCCTGTGGCCTCATTCCCAGTCCATGCTTAAAGGCTTGAGCAGACCAGCCATTAACCAAGGCTTGAGTAGCAAAATGTGAAATCCGCTTTGTACAAATTATCCGGATAATCTCTTTCAAGTCCCTCTGGATAAAAAACAGAGCCCCGTTGAGGGTAACACTCTGGCAGGTATTCAAAGCTGAAGTGGTCGTGGCTTGGCTCCTATTGTATGCACAAGCAGTTCAATTGGGTTGATCGATGCTGATCTGCCTGTAAGTATCCTTTTGATAAGGATCTTAAGAAGCTTGCTAATTAATTTTAAAGGAATATTTGTCTTTGGCCTCCTGTCTCATTCTTTTCACATTATATATTCCGGTGATAAATGATGGAAGCATAAATACATTACCTCTGCTCCATCAGTGTTTTCTGTTGTTGATGTAAAGAGCGCAAATTGGATTTGTTTCAGGATAGCTGAATTTGGAATGTGATGTCTTGCCAAGTCAGAATCCCACTTGCCCAGACAACACACATGTGGATTTTGTAGTTGTTTTCTTTTTAAAATAGTCTCTGTCTGTGGTGCCATTGATTAATGTAATATTGCGTTAATATGCTGTTACAACACCACAGGGCATGCACCAGTTCTTTCAGCCAGCAGCTGAGAATTTCCCAAACTAAAGTCTTCATAAAATACAGATTGCAGGGCAAAAAAAAAAAAAAAAAGCATCAACCATGAGAATTTATGGACAGCAAGAGTGCTTGAGGAATCAACTTTGGATGGACTCGCCAATGGAAATAGAGTGTAATTATTATCTAATTTCATTCCTCTAAAACATTAGACACTGTCTATACTTATTCATTTATTGAATCTGTGTTTTTAAATGACCCAGATATCTGACTATGTTCTTCCCCAGCTTCTCTTTATTTTTAAGTTTCCCCCGGCCCCAGCGTTTCTATAGTTTGTCAGATCCAGAATGTCAGTGAAGGCCGACATAGCCACATATGTGGCATGGCTCAAGCTGCAAAAATTAAAACCAAATACTTCGCTGTCCAATGAAGACAGTTAGCAGGCAACTTTCTTCAATTCAGTGCTGATGTAAATGCCTGGGGTCATTCTGGACATATTTTAAATGACAACTTTTTTTTTCTTTCTCAAGATAATTTTTCATCTTTAAGCATCATATTTTCCCTATTACAAAAATCTGGAATAATATTGTTTCTAAAACAATTAACTGAGGTAAAACTTAACTGAATGAAAGCATTCTTGATACTATATATTTAAATTTATAAATGAAGATGCTACTGCAGCCTGCTAACGGAGGCCATAAATCCAACTCTACTCTTTTTCAGACTCCAGGAGTATTATTATTTTCAAATATCTATCTGATAAGAGAAACACAGGCAAGTTTTGCTTTTTTAGTATAAACCTATTTTAGCTTTACAGTGGATTAGAAATACAGAAAGTAACATCTCTCCCTTTAACCCTCTAAACCTTTTAAGATTCACAAGAAAGCAAAAGATAAAAAAACAAATAAAGTGTGGTGGTCCTTAATGGAAAGAGAATTTTTCTGTAACCGAGCCTTATGAGTCAGCATTTGGATATAAATAATTTATAGTTATAATCATAAGATCATTAAGTTCAAGCATGCAGAAAACCATTTCAAGGTCTTTGCTAATGGTGCTAACAGAGGCCAACTTAAATGAGCCAGGCCACTGATCTTAATAACATGCCTTCAAGTCCAACTGGTGTTGATGTTTGTAGTTGAGATAAAGAGAAGAGTATTTCTGTTATATTTCAATATTTTTAAATCTGGATATTTTTCTATGGATTCTGTAAAGTAAATGTCAACTAAGATTGACAGGTAACAATTAGGGTAGGAGACAGTATCTCTGTGGTGGGTGGTTGCCTGTGTTTAAAAACTGTATGCCAAGGGAACAGGGTTCATTGTGTCATAAGTAACATAAATTCAGGGGGTCCTGGTGGGCACCCCCTACTCCACAGGGGTGGTGTGATGCAAGGGATGTGTGGAGGAACCAGCGGGGAGCTGCCCTGCCCCCTAGATATCGCCTCTTTGGTGAAGAATGCAGTGTTTTTCTCTTTTGTCCAAGTTGTAACGACCTAAGACTTAGATTCCATCCCATGACTGTCCTTTCCCTAAAACCACCAGATAGAATACCTCCCATGTCCCAATTATACAGTCCTCTTGTGTTTTTCTGGTGTTTGTATTCCCATAGTTGCAAATAAAAAGTATATTTTTAGTTTTAGAATTTTCCTTTCCATTAAAAAAAAAAATCCCTGAAGATTTGTGGCACCACTGTTATTTTCGTTCATGTCATTGCTTCCATAGCAGCAAGTTAAGACTTTGTAAGAAACTATGTTTACCAAAAAAAAGCAATTATCTAAGCGAACATTATAGCTACATGTAGCAAAGTTTCAATTTAGATTTCCTGTAACCATTACGCTACACACACACACACACACACACACACACACACACACACCCTCCAATTTGTGTTATAAACTAAAGGTTTGACCAGTTCTTTGGGCTTCTATAGCAGAACGAAAGCTCAGGCAACTCACTTTCCAAGCCATAGAAGGTGGATTCTTCCCTTTTTTCCATTCCAAACAGGAGTAGAATATAAACTAAATGAGTTTGTACTGATATGTAATCCTTAGGGTGGATTTAAAGAAAAGATAGAGAAGAAACAAAATAAATTCCCAGTTTTTCACAGCTCATTTTGCTAAGCATAAACCTGATATTATGGTACCTATTCGTTTTGCCTAGAAGGTTTTTTCCTCTCAGAATTTCAGTTGTAGAGATATTCCAGAGTTGCTTTACCTTTTTCTAGTTCAGAGATTTCAGTGGCCATTCTATAGTGAGATAAAAATGTCTGTATGAATTAAATGGGGCCAGCCTGGTGATGCAACGTTTAAGTTCCCCCGCTCCACTTCAGTGTCCTGGGGTTCATGGGTTCGGATCCCAAGTGCGGACCTACACACCAGTTATGAAGCCATACTGTGGCAGGCATCCCACTTATAAAATAGAGGAAGATGGGCACAGATGTTGCTCAAGGCCAATCTTCCTCAGCAAAAAGAGGAGGATTGGCAGCCGATGTTAGCTCAGAGCTAATCTTCCTAAAAAAAAACCCAGTCTGTATGAATGTTAATTTCTAATTAGATCTACCTGGATATAAAATGAGTCAGGAACATCTAGAGAAAGCATGCTAAGAAATGCACTGCCAGGTTTTTATCTTCGTATGAGTAGGATTGTCCTTCTCAAATGTTCGAATATGGCTTGGCATTATCAATTTTCTCTGAAAAAGGAATTCCAAAATCTTTCTGATGGACACAGCCCATGTTCACTTGTAAGTTGGGTAGGTAAAAGCTAGCTGGGAGATAAAATTAATGTTTTTTCGAAAGCATTTTCAAGCAAGACTCTATTAAAATAATTGAATGCAGCAACTTTTGGCCACAGAACTTTGTAGCCATTGTGCAGAACTACAAGCAAAATGAGAGCCCTGGGCCACTTGCCCCTTCCTGCTGAGAGTTTACAGTTGCGTGGAGAACATCGCTGAGAATCCAGAGTAAAGTGGAAACAAATACAGGAAGCAAAGCGACGTGTAAGCAGCCAAGTCTGTCATACAATCGGGGGCAGGAAGGGTCGGGGATGCAAGGTCTTGTTAGACTGTCGAGGCTTAAATCTTCTGAGATGTGAGGAACGGAAGGCTCCAATTTAGTGAGGAGGGAGAATAATGTGCTTCCAACACATCCAGCAAAATAGCGGCGTCATAAACTTGAGCATCACTGCAGAAATTAAAAATTAAACTCACCATATTTATCCTGCGTAAAAGCAACCCCACAGAACTGTCTATTTCAGTCACCGATCAAAAGCCTTTCTAAACCATTTTAGACGTCTCCCCCGGCTATTCCAAAATTCAGTTTCCTTACCTGGAACATGTTCTCCTAGGATCCTTAAAAACACCTCCATTTTATAATTCAGAAAAATTGCTGCCACCAGGAGAAATCAAGGGGTGGGGCTCTCAGGAAGCCACGGGAGGAGGGGCTGTGGGGCAGGCAGAGGGAAGATTGCCTCCAGGGTCCTGGCTAGAGACAGCGGGGCCAGCCCCAAAGGAGACTTGAGAGAGATGCTGTGGAGGGGACTTCTCCTCCAGAGCCTGCTGTGGCGGGGGCCCCTGAGCCTCTCTCTGCATCGGGGTAACTGTGTTAACCTGGAATGTTGGCTGCAAGCACCCCACCCCTCAGCCGATTGTGCGATTAACCAAACACAGCTCTTGCTGGGATTGTTGAACAAGAAGCAAATGTATGCAGCCCTGATCCGTTCACCAAGTCCTGAATTTATTACGCTTCTCCTCTATGTAGGTATTGAATGGGATACTAAAATTATAAACCTCCCCTTATACCATTGTGGTAGGCAGACTAATGGCCCCCGGAGGACTTTGTGTCGTAACCCCCAAAAAGTGTGATTATATGTTACACGGCAGAGGAGGAGGTAAGATTGTAGATGGAATGCAGATGATAATCAGCTGGCTTTAAGGTAAGGAGACTATCCTGGATTAGCCAGGGGGCCCCAGTATGATCACAGGGTCCTCTGACTGGAGGAGCGAGGCAGAAGAGTCAACATCATAGAGAGATGTGAAGAAGACTTGACCAGCCACTGCTGGCTCTGAAGATGGAGGAAGGGGCCACTAGCCAAGGAATGTAGTCCCCCTCTAGACGCTGGAAAAGACAAGGAAATGGATGCTCCCCTAGTGCCTTCAGCAGGACTGCAGCCTTGACGACCCCTTGATTTTAGCCCAGAGAGACGTGTGTCAGACTCCTGACCTCCAGAACTGTGTGATCAATTTGTGTTAAGTCACTCAGTTTGTGGTCATTTGTTGCAACGGCCATAGAAAACTAATACAAACTGTTGATTTCCTTTAAACAACATCAGAAATTACCCTGTGCATTTGCTCCTTTATTTTCTCATGGTCTCCCTCCACACTCAAGGATGCCCCTGCAGGAGGACGGGACCTCGCCTGCTCTATCGCAGGAGCTGGGAGCAGAGCTTGGAATACACTGGTGCTCAATACGTGCTTCCTGGGGGTCAAGCGAATAATTGTGTACACGAACAAATGATTAGAAATCCCGCTTCTCTCCAGAGCTTCTGCAAGACATATCCATAGGAAATAACCAGTGAAGTTTCAGAAAATATCAATTACAAACAATTAGGATTTAAAGCCTCTGTGTGCCTGAAAGGGCCCCATGTTACGGAAGAACGTAAGACTCTAGAAAGAAGTCATTTTTGTATGGGAAGACTAGTGGTGTCCAACCACAGGAAACTCTTGAATTCCTTTTTTAGGTGGACTTACCACAGCGCCATAAATCAGTTTTTATCACGACAATAAAACCTGAGATTAACCTATAGCAATAAATATAGTGAGAAACTGGACATTGCAGAGAAACTGGGTAGCACATTTTTGGGGAAGTAGAATCAATATGGCAAATATGTACATCCTGTGAAGGCCGTCACTGCTTTTGCCTGTAAGTGTCAACAAACAGCTTTCCACATTCGTTACATTACAAAGAAGAAAATTTTAAATTTTGAAACTCCCACGAAGTGAGAACCAAGGGGTTTTCTGTGTTTCTTTTGTTCACTGGTTTGCAGGCAGGTTTGTAACCCTATCTTTGTTTGCTTTTTGATACTTCACTCATCAACAAATATTAAGAAAGCTCTTTGCACGTATTAATTTATTTGACTCTACCTAAGAGGCAGGTACCATATATCTCTATTTTTGTAGACCGGGCAACTGAGTCTTTGTGAAAGTGAAGTGACCTGCTTAAGGTGACACAGTGCGTTAGTGGTGAAGTGAGGATAAGCCCCGTGTCCACGCTCTTAGCCACTCTGCTGTCTGCTCCCCCCACACCAGACCCTGGGCTGGGTCCTGGGATAGACAGGAAGCACGTCAGACCCAGTCCCTGGCCTCAGCATCTCACAAGTAGGAATGGCACAAATGTCCGTGGTGACGAGTGCTGTGACGGAGACAGAGCATCAGAAGCTGAGAGAGTGGATACCTGCGTGGACTAACCCGGTTCCCAGAGCACCAGAAGCCAGCCACATTGCAGGTCTTCCGTTTACACTCTGTACCAAGAGCAAGTGAACATTCGTCTGTGAAGATGTCTCTGTAAGTGCCCCCTATGTGAACATTAGGTGCAGCGGAGGTTGATGAGCTGTGATGTGGAGGATATTTTTTTAATTCCAAAAATAAGTTAATTTCTACATTTTTTCTTTTCTTCGAGTATGACGCCTGCTCTGAATGTCGTTTGTCTAGCCCAGGGTTTCTCAGCCTCAACAGTGTTCCAGATGATCCTTTGTTGTGGGGAGGGGCGCACTGTAGGATGTTTAGCAACATCCCTGGCCTCCTCCCACTAGTCACAACCCCTCCTCGCCCCTAAGTGTGACAACCAAATATGTCCCCAGACACTGCGGAGTGTCCCCTGGAGAGCAGACTCGCCCCAGATTGGGAAGCGCTGGTCACCCACCAGTAATTCAGATTCTGCCTGTCCTGGAGACCGACGATCTTGCTGACGCTCTGGCCCCTTCTCCCCTCCGCCTTCCCTTCTCGGCAGCACTGGCCAGGCTGTGGAGCTCAGGGGTTACATTTCCTGAACTCAGCCGGCACCCCCTGCCCACCAGCCGGCGCCCCGGGCTGGAAAGGCGCTCCTTCGCAGGAGGAAGGAAGCCAGTGGCCCTCAGCTCCCGTCGCTCCGCACAAGCCTTCATTTGGGTTTTCCGCCACACTGTGCCCCAAGATTCTCCCTTCTGCGCCCCAGAGCTCTGAAGGGGTTTGGTTTTGGGAGCTCAAGAGCAGAAGAAAAGAGGAAGACTGAACTGAACAGAGCAGATGGAAGGAAAGAAGGAAAGGTCAGAGCGGAAGGAACCGTTCTAGAATTGTAGCCTGCTTGAGGGCATGGATATAAACAGGATCTAAGGCAATTCTGAAAGATGGCTTCCAGACATGTCTTGAGCAAGGGACTGGCCAGATAATGAATTCTGATCTGTTGGTGAAAATATCTCATTAATTCATAGTTACCCCTATTCAGGCCTTAAAATTGAATCACAGAATGAAACGTGGTACCGTCCGGTGCTGTGCTCTGGAGGAGAGAAGGCAGGATGTGTGAGTGTGGAAGAGCCCTGAGTGCGTGTGGGGGACCAGAGGTCCCTTGAGTTCAGCTCTCATTCCGACGAAAATGTGGAGGCTCCCTACCATGAAGTACCAGCGTGGGGAGCGTCA